GAACCGTCCCTCTTGACCGCAGACTGATTCCGAGAGTCGTTCGTTTTGTCTCGCTCGCACCTCCGGGGAACGCCCGGCCCCACGAGTGCGAGAGAGACAGAGCGACAGTCTGCAGCTTGACGCCCCCTCCTTCTCGCCCCCGCCCCAAAGTGTTGTCTTTGGGGCGCATCGGCCGCATCGGCAGCGCCAGGTCCAGGCCCGGGGGCGGCCGGGGGAAAGGCCGCTCGGGTTTCAAAGACCGCCGTGCCGTGGCGTTGCGTCGCGTTTCGCTCGAATGCCAGGCAATGCCAGCCTGAAGGATCGTCTCGTCTCTGTCTCTACGGGGCGCTCCATGAGTGCGACGAAGACAGAGCGATGCGGGCCGAACGTCGGAGGGCCGCCGCGGCAGGGAAGGGAAGGCCCGAGAGGGTCTTTGTGCGCCTCGGCTCGGCCACAGCCTCAGCGGGCGTCGGGTCGGCGTTTCGGCGGAAGACCGGTGCGGAGAGGGACGCCGAAGTTGAAGCATGCCGTCGGCGGAGAAGCCACACGCGTTTTGGTTTTCAAACCCGGCCTGGCCTTTGTACGCTAATGAGAGAACCCTTTGCGAGGCCGTGCCTGCAGACTGATTCCGAGAGTTGCTTTCGTCCCACCTAAAGGGGGGACGCGCTATGAGTGCGAGAGAGACAGAGCGACGAAAGCGACTCATCTTGGAATCAGTCTTCTGGGCCGGGCTGGGCCCCACACGGCGGCCCGCGGCCCGCGCCACGCATCGCCACGCACCACGCGAGGCCCGGCCTCTCGGCCTGGCTTCTCTGGCTTGGCCTCGGCCGCCTGTCCGTCGACGCGGAGGCTTGATAGCAAAGGCCGCACCACGGGGCCTCGCCGGCCTCGCCCACCGATTCCTCTTGAATGAATGAATGAATGAGTGAGCTTGTGACGCGGTGACTCACGCCGCCGTACGAAAGCGCGCGTGCTGGAGGATGACGTCACTGCCGCCGTATGTACAGTACAGCGCGGCTGTCTGGAGAGGATGCTCCGTGCCGCCGGGTCACGACGTCACGATGATACGGGGAAGTCCGCGTAGAGCTGCAGGAACACGCCCGGCGCGTCGCGGCGCGTCGCCCGCCAGAGGCGCTGGCTCGGCTGGCTCTGCGCATCGGAAAAGGGGGAAGGAAGTGGCAGTGCGTGGCGAGTGGCGAAGCACTGCGAGGCGAAGGAGCATTCAGATAAACGGCTTGGTGTTGCAATTGGCTGCGGGACGCTGCGGGACGCTGCGGGGCCACGCGGCTTCTGGGCTCGCCGCCGCCTTTCAAGTGTGCCGCCCAGGCTGCGTGGCTGCGTAGCTCCGCGACGCGCTCCGCGGCCGCCAAGCGCCTCTCCGTCAAGGGGGCGCGAACCGCGAACGCACCATCGCGACGACCAGCTTGCGTCACCGCGCTCTGCTTCGGCCCACCGACCCTTTCTCTCACGCACCCTCCCTTGTGGTGTTCCGTGCAGGTGCGAAAGAGAGAGGCGGAGCGGCGAAACGCAGCTGGTTTCGGTGCTAAGATTTACGGCCGGTCGGCGGATGGACCTCCGCGCCGACGCGCCGACTTGGCCTCGGACCGGAAACGGTCAATTTCTCCCGCGTCGCCGTCATCTAGTGACCCGTCATCGAGCGGCTTTGGCTCGCCGCCGCGCCGCCGCGCTCGTGTCAAAGGGCGGCTCGGTTATCGTGGCGCCCCGCCACCCCGCCCCGCCCCGCCCCGCCCCGGACGTCATGCGCCAGTTCCGCGTTGTTGACTCACCGGGACAGCGAGCGGGGCCGGGGGGTTCCGGTGTGGTGGAAGTGCACGGCGACCGCGACGCGAGTGCGGCGTGCACGGCAAAGTGCGTGGCGGCTGCCTTGCGAATCGTTTGCGACTTGCCCTCCCTCCGGGCTGGTGGAGGCGGCAAAAATTCTAGACGCGTTTTGAGCTCCAGAGTCGCTAAGGGATCATGCACATACCACGTGACCCAAAAAAGGCCACTTTTAGACCCCTCCCTCCCCCCTTGTGACCCTCTGTGACCCTTCGCCGAACCCTCCACCCTCCCCCAAAAGTCACGTGGTAATTTGGGAATTTGGTTATTGCGATTTAGTAAGACTGCTTTGCCAATATTGTCGTCTTTTCATTGTTTCTTGGATTGCGTAATATTCGAGTGTGAACAAGAAAGCTTCACCACAGCTGAACAGGACTGGAAAGGTTCACATGAACTGTCTATTAGGTATTTGTGCGCGCCCGCGTACGAAAACATGCGTTGCGTGGTCAGTGTGATAATAAATTACTGCTGTTTGCTTGCTCACTGAAAACCTTGCGATAACTTGTTCGTTATAGAAAGATTGTCGTCGGGATGACCAATCATTTGTTCGCTGTTTGCAAACCTCCTGTTAGTAAAAAGAACGTGTTTGCATTGTGAACTCTTATTTGAAGTTTTTTTCGCCAAATTACGAAAGCAAAATTCTTTGCAAGCTGCGAACTGAGTGGTTTTTAATGTGAATAACACAATCCTCGGCAAGAGTGTGCTTGTGCTGTAAGAATTGTAATTTTTATTGAAGTGTCATCATCTTTAATTTTAAAAACAATGTGCAGGGCAGTCCGTTTCGTTCCGAAAAGTTCATGTCACGTGACTTTTTGGCAACCTCCCGTCCCCCCTTGTGACTTGCCGTGACTTTTTCGCGACCCCTCCCTCCCCCTAAATGGGTCACGTGGTATGTGCACGACCCCTAAACGGGACTCGAACGGAGCGCGTGACCCCACCAATGGATTGCTCTTCGAACGAGGAATCCATTGGTGGGGTCTGGGGTCACACGTTCGATTTGAGTCCTGTTTAGCTACTCTAGAGCTCAAAACGGTCGAGAATTTTGGCCACCTCCACCGGTCTTCCGGCCCACTGTGCGTTCCCCGCCCCGCCCCGCCCCGCTTGCAGTGGATGGACGGCGATGTGGTCGTGGTGGTGCAAGTCGGCGAGGCACTGCAATGCAATTAGTGCTCGGACGCGGCGTCACTGGCCAAGGCACTGGCCAAGGCACTGGCGGGGACGAGGCGGGCTCGACGAGACGAGGCTCGTGCTCGACGTGAGCGCGGCCATGTCGCTGCGCGCCGCGCTCCGCCGCGGTTCGTTTTTGCGTTCTTGCGGCTTCGTGGAAGATTTGGCCGATGGCGAATCGAACGACCGCGCGGACGGACGGCCGGCCGCGCGGCGTCCTTGCCGGCTGCATTCCTGCACGGAGGCGAGGGAGATGTGCGGGAATGCGCGCAGGAACACAGGGGGGCGGGCGGGGCTCCTTGCAGGTTCCTTGTCGGAGAGCGTCGGCTCGACTGGTTGGCTTCGCTTGGCTTCGCTCCGACTGTGATCGGTACCGCCGGTCCGGTACCTCGGCCGCGCCGGGCTGGCCGGAACGGGCACCCCAAACATGGCTCAGGCTCGGGCTCGGGCATCTGAGCGGTACCGATACCAACCACCGCACCAGCCCCGTCCCGTGCGTGTCTCCGGCGACGACGCGGACCAGGATGGTGTCATTGATGGCGTTGGCCACGCCATGCGCAAGCGAGTCGCGGAGAGGTGTTCGGCGCTGCTCTGGGGCTCCGGGTCGAGCAGTGCCCTGCGGTGCCCTGCAGTGCCCTCGGACTCGGTGTCGCCTTGGCCCGGGTGCGAGGCTTGATTAAGGCGCCGGCGCTAAGCACTCAAAGTCGGGCCTACAGTGACGTGTGGCGAAACTGCCACTGGCCACGTGCCTCGCGGAGCAAGAGAGAGAGGAAGAGCGAGCGGCCGTTCTCGTATAGTCCAGGCACGGCGCTCGCGCTACCTTCTTTCTTCTTTTACTCGTTCCGAGTTTGGCGGTGGCTGCGTTGTGGATGGCATGGATGGCCGCCCTGCACGTCGCGGTCGACCCGACTCGGCCGGCCATCTCTCTCCATGTTTGGACAGATGCCTCGCAGGTCGCTGGCTGGCCTGGCTGGCCTGGCTCTGCGCGGCTTTGCGCGGCATTGCCTACGTGAGGGTCGAGAGCAAGTAGGGTACGGTGCACTGCCGCCGCTGCTCTGTGGGCCAGAAGACCGGTGGAGGCGGCCAAAATTCTCGACAAGTTTTGAGCTCTAGAGTGGGTTCCTCCGGGCCGCGGACGCAGGCCGAGCACTGCCGCGCCGCCGCGCCGCGCTGTCGGCGGCCCCGTTGATGCACTGGCAGCGTGCAATCGCTGGCGCGGCGCCAGAGTCGTTTCGTCGCTTGTCTCCCTCGCACCTCCGAGGAACACAACGCCCGTGAGTGCGACAGAGGCAGGGCGACGAGACGCAGCGCCGCGGCCCGCACAGGCTAATTGAAGGCGTGGGTGCCGTCCATGCCGTTCAAGCGCCGGAGCGTCCACGTCCACGGAGTCAGGCCGGCCGGACCGATGCATGGCGGCAGTGCAGTGCCGCGTGGGTGCCCGCACCGTGGCCGCACCGTGGCCGCCGAGCACGAGTCGGTTATTGAGCACTCCGCTAGTGTGTGTTGTGTGAGAGAGAGGGCGAGAGGCGCACGCGCCCCGCAGTCAACGGACGGCCCCGGCCAGGGCTGCACTTTCACCCCGCGGCGCGCGCCGCCCCCAACGCTGCCGTCGTCACCCTGGCGGCCCTGGCGGCCCTGGCGGCCGCGCCACTCCGTCTGGCCGGGCCGCTAATCCCCCGGGCCCCGCCTTGCTCCGCGTGCAGCCCGTGCAGCCCGTGCAGCCCGTGGCCACGGTGCCGCATACCGTCGACGCGGTCCCCACTAGTGTACCCAGCTAATCGGCGACGGGGCGCCTGGCGCGGCCGTGGCATGGCATGATGTTTCTTGAATGCCACAACACGGCCTGCTTTTCCTTTGACCCGCCGTGCCGCGAGAGCGCGAGAGCACTGACCGGGAGGAGAGGAGAGGAGAGGAGGCTGTGGTTGATGGCGCCTTGGCTGGCGTGCAGCGTAGCAGTAGCAGCGTAGCGTAGCGCAGAGGCGCCGAGCTGACCACGCTCTTCTTGTCCGTTGCAGCGATGCGTGGCGCGGGCCCTGTACGACAACGTGGCCGAGAGCCCCGACGAGCTGGCCTTCCGGCGCGGCGACGTGCTCACCGTGCTGGAGCAGAACACCATGGGGCTGGAGGGCTGGTGGCTGTGCTCCATGCGCGGACGCCAGGGCATCTGCCCCGGCAACCGGCTGCGGCTGCTGGCCGGCGTCTTCGACACCAGCTCGCCGGCGGCGTCCGCGTCGCCGTCCCCCGCGCCGCCCAGCGGGACCCCCACGGCCACGCCGGAGCCAAGAGAGCCCGTGCAGGGCAAGAGGAGGTCCTGGCACGTCCAGCCGAATAAGGTAAGTCAAGCAAAAAGGAGCCGCCCGGTAAGGGGCTCGAACCCTCGACCTTAGGATTAAAAGTCCCACGCTCTACCGACTGAGCTAACCGGGCAATGATAAGGTCCGTGGCCCGCCTTGAAGGGCCACGCTGCCGTGGAGGCGCGACACCGCGTTGGAGCGGCGGCGCGAAGTGTTCCGTTTGGTTTGGCCGACGCGCTATCGCCGTTGGCGCGTCGATGTCAATACTTTGTCGCGATACAGATTTTTCACGCACGACTGGTGCCGCCTTCGTCTTGTCGACTTGGTCGCGTCGCCTCGCCGTGGGGTGTGGCGGCGGCATGGTGGCGGGGCAAGGCCTGGAGAAAACGGCTTGCGACACGGCCCGACGACCGAACCAGGCGGCGCGGCGCGACGCGGTTTGGCTGACGACGCCAGGCTGACGCAAATCGAGCCTGCCATCTCCAATCACCCAGGGCTGTTCTGTTCGATGCCATCGGGCTTTTGGGCTTTGGGCTTTGGCTTTCGGAGCGCCGCGGTGGGACGGCCCGAACGGAACGGTGCTCCCGTCCCGTCGCGGGACGCCCCATGAGTGCGAGGGAGACAGAGCGACAAAGGTCCGCTCTGCATTGCTCTGCATCGGCGTGCTGGCAGTCACGACGTCACGACGGCGTGTGCGCTTCCCCCTGCTTCCTGCGCCACGACCAGCCACGACCGGCATGGACAGCTCTCTGGCAGAGCGGTGCTTTGTCGCGGTCTCTCTCGCACCCCTTGGCGCGCCGCGTGAGTGCGAGAGAGACGGAGCGTCGAAGGCTGCGCAGATACCCCGGCCAGGTCCTCGTGCAAGAACAGAGCCCTCACAACGACGGCCAGGCCAGAACGCTGAACGCTGGGCCGAGCCAGGACCGGCCGGCCCCTTGCAGTGCAGGCTGCAGGCCGAGCCGAGCTGGACTTGGCCAAGACAGGCTGCCCCGGCCCGGCGTGCCCGCTGCCCGCGGTGTGCCATCAGTCCATATATTGCGCGAGGCAGTCCCGCAGTCCCCGTCCGGCAGTCCGGGGCAGTCCGGCCGTGACCACGCCGTGACCCGTCCGTCCCTCGTCCGTCCGTCGCCGCTTCTTTATTTTCCTTCCTGGTTTTGGCTGTCCCTCCGCGGCTTGGCCGAGTCCCGCGCACGCCGCGCCGAGCATCGTGTGTCCCTCCTGCCGCCATGGGCCATGGGCCGGGCTATGGCCCTGTTCCTGTTCACCCCCCCGAGCGCGGCATTTCCGGACGTGAGGGGCCTCCCCTCCCTCCTGCCTCCCACTCGCCAGTCAGGCCAGTACGGGGAAGTCCCGCGGCCGCGCCGACTGCACGGGCATTGTGAGCACACACGGGGTGGCGTGGGTTTGTATGTATGCCAGCAGGGCCCGGCGGCCCGGCTCCAAGAAAGAGCAGCATCGTGCCACACATCGTATCGTGCCACACATCGTATCGTGCCACACATCGTATCGTGCCACACATCGTATCGTGCCACACACCAGCGGCGCAGTGTGCAGCATGACGTTCTCGCTGCGTGCGCTGCAAGTGCTCGCTACGCGTGGCAGCTGGCCTGGCCTGGCCCTCCCTGTGGTCCGAGCGGCATGAGTACTGAGTACTGGGAACAAAATGGCAGGCAGGCGGACGGGGCTCGCACTGCTGTGCATGCTGTGCGCTGCCACTCCATGGCCACTCTCTTCCCTTCGGCAGCACGGCCGCTCCGCCCGCTCTCACCGCAGTAGTGTGTGGTGCGTGCCTGGAGCACTGCCCAAGACGTGGCGTGGATTAGACTTTCAAATTTGCCTTGCCGATCCGCGCCGTTGACGCGCGCCGCGTCTCGGCCTGACGGGGCCCTTGGGGTTGGCCGGTCCTTCGTCCAGTGTCGCAATCACGGTCCTCTTGGTGTTGCAGGTGCTGACGCCGCAGCGCTTCGGCGACGTGTTCCTGTACGACATGCCGCCCAACAGGCACTCCCCCCTGCTGGACCAGGTGCAGGGGCTGCAGGGGCGGTACGCCACGCCGCGGAACTCGACGCCCAGCAGCATGGCCAGCATGGACTCGTACGACGTGCCGCCCCGGGCCGTGCCCACGCCGACGTCCACGCCGACGTCCACCCCCGTGCCCGCGTGCTACGACACCCCGGTGCCCGCCCCGCTGCGGCCGGCCCTGCTCAGGCGGGAGTCGTCGGAGAGCTACGATGTGCCGCGGCCCATCGGCACCAGGTCGCCGCTGTGAGTAGCCTCGCCGGCCTCGCCGGCCTCGCCTAGCCTCGTCGCTCCTGCTGGTGGTTGTTGTTGCTTGCAGTTGTAACCGGGCTTATCGTTTTGTTTCTGTGTTTGTTCCAGGAGCGCGGTGCTGCTGATGCAGCAGAGGCAGCTGACGCCCAGCAGCAGTGCCAGCTCGCTGACGGCCGACTCGATGCATTCCGGGCACTCGGCGCACTCGGCGCCCAACTCCAACCGGTCCAGCGTGGCGTCCAGCGTGGCGTCCAGCTTGGCGTCGTGCGGCAACGAGTATGATGTGCCGCGGCGTGCCCTGGCGGCCAGTACGGCCAGCAGGGCCAGCACGCCGCAGGGGATGCCGTCCCAAACCTACGACGTGCCGGCCGCCGCCTTCGCCACCGCGGCCTCGAGGAACGTGCCCCACCAGGCCGCCGTCGTCCCCGCCCCCGCGCCCCGCGAGCTCCCTCTGGAGCTGGGCTCGGCGCTGGAGAGCCTGGCGCGCCTCCAGGGGGAGGCCACGGCCGCCGTGTCCAGGCTGCTGGGCTTCGCGGGGCCGCAGTGGCGACACCGCGAGAGGCTGGAGCCGTGCCTCATGGACATCAAGCTGGCCGTGGTGCGGCTCCGCACCGCGCTGCACGACCTCACAGAGTTCGGCGACGGCGCCCTGGGCAACGCGGCCAAGGCCTCGGACAAGGGGCTGGTCCTCAAGCTGCGGCCCCTCATCAAGGCCCTGAGCGACGCCGACCGCCTCGTGCACGACACCACCGCCAGGCTGGACGCCCTGGACTGGTCGCTGGAGGCGCTCTGCCGGGACGAGGACGACTCGGGGCCGGCCCGGAGGGTGTCGCCCGACGCGCTGGACCAGCTGGTGGCGTGCGCGCAGGCCCTGACGGAGGACGTGCGGCAGGCCGCCTCCACCATCCAGGGCAACTCCACGCTGCTGTTCAAGAGGGCGTCCTCGCCCAACGGCAGCACCCACAGTGGGAACGGCGAGTGGCTGGAGGACTACGACTACGTTAATCTCGAGTCCAAGGAGTCTGTCGCCAAGCAGAATGCCGAAATCCTGGACGACCTGCCTGATAAGCTAAGGTTGGTGTGGTTGTGATTGTGACTCCATCAACCAATTGTGTCAACTAACATCCAACATTAATTAAAATTTTAATTTCCAGAAAATCGTTTGATGGTCTTGTGAGAGAATCAGAAACTTTGGCTGCTGCTGCTCCTGTGGAACCTGAAGACACCTTGGATGCAGATGATAGGCGAATCTTGTCATTTTATGCTGGCCAAATTATGACTCATTCGGCCCACTTAACTCATGCTATTGATGCATTCTTGCAAACTGTTGAACACAATCAACCTCCCAAAGTATTCCTAGCACATAGCAAATTTGTGGTTTTGTCGGCCCATTGGCTTGTTCAAGTTGGAGACACCGTCCATCGTAACGTGGTGGGTTGATGTTTTGTTTTCGTATTTCTATAACAATCCTTTGCCTGATTTTAATTCTAATTATCAATTTGTTTGCCCACAGACACGCAATGAGGTGCGTTCAAGAGTTCTGACCTGCACAAATGCCTTGTCAGAAGCTCTTGGTTCAACAGTTCATAAAACAAAGAAAGCAGCTCTTCATTTTCCCAGTGTAACAGCTGTTCAAGAAATGGTTGACTCAATTGTAGACATCTCACATTTAGCGAGAGACTTGAAGCTCAGCATGGTGCAAGCATCGCAACAGCTTTAGTCAATTTATAATTTTGGGGGGTGAAACTTTGTCTTTGGAACTCGTTTCCAGAGATTTGACAGAATTTTGGTCTCCTAACTTAATGTGCTATTTTCTGTTTTTGTTAAACAGTTCAGCTAGTCATTTTTTAAAGTGTTTTCTTGTTTGAGAAAACATAATTTGTAGCATTATTTAATGTATATCTAACTACTCAAGTATCTTAGGTAGTTATAAATTTAGTGCAGGCTTTTACTTTTATTTGAAGCCTTTGCTCAATAATTTAATATTTCACCCATCCATAGGCTGATTTTTGTTTCATCAATCTCTTATTCAACTTTATTTGTGATGTCTGTTTTCTTTATCATTGTTCACTCTGTCAGTGTCAGTCTGTTCTTGAATAGAGAGCAGTTACAATCTGAGCCACTAAGCCGGACTGCTTACCATGAGAAAGCAAGTTAAAATTCACCAACATGAGAGGTCATTAATTTTCTGACAGTAGTTTGAACGGTTAACAATGCCTCTAGAAACAATGCCTCTGTCTGCACGGAGCATCAGAATTGACTGACGCCTTTCTACAAACTATCAATTAATTTGTAACTTTGTTTATAATTTGTTGTCATTTTAATTATGTTTGGGTTTTATTTTCGCTACCCATAATTTTTATTTATTTTGTGGATAACTGGTGTATCATGAAATGAGATAGAACTTTCCTAAGCTCCATATTAGATTCAGCCTGTATCCTCTCTAGCAGTTGTGATAGTCAGTAGTCAGTATATTTGGAGAGAGGCCAAATGGTAATGTTGTAGCTGTCATAGATAATTTAAGTTCAACAATACTGTTAGTTTTGCTATGCTGAATGAAGTTCTATCATGAATGTGAAATTTTATTCCTATCTCACAATGATTGAAGAACCCAGGGATTCAGTGTTACTGTTCTCTCTTTTTAAAAAATGTTGTGCCATATCAGTTTCAAACAGAATCTGATTTAGATTTAACCAATCAAATTTTGCTTCTTTGTGGTACCTTGATCAATTCTAAGCTTTAACAGGCCTTGAAGCAGTTTTCCTGGCTTCCACATTTGCAAATGCCCGTCCTCTGCAAATACAATTTCCTTAGTCATGCGTTCATGGCCGTGACCAGAAAAGAACTGAAGTAGTATTGATAAAAAATTAAGTCTCATATCATTGTATATATCACAATTATTTAAAAGAGATCTTTTCTTTTTTGAAAAGAAGAAGATAAGGTATGACTACTTGCTTTGTTTTATATTGTGTATAGAATTTGAGATGTGCTCTTATGAAGAAAGAATAAAATGCCTAAATACTCAGAAAATTTACTCAGCCAATATTTACAGAAAGTTTTTGAAGAATACATCACTTTATGAGATAGGTCAACTCGTTCAACCATACCAAACACTCAATCATCAAATAAGACCAAGAGACCCACAAAGATGACACAGCCTCATCTCAGGTACATCCACAAAAACAAGGAGAGATGAAGATGTCCTGGATTCAATGGCATCCTATATGCAGCACAGATGTAAAATTGCAAACTGAATACCGGTAGATAATCTAATAGTCTATCAATATAATAAACAAATTCAAAGCAGTTAGAGACAAATTCCCACTACGTTCAGAAAAAGAATATTTACAGCATTTTTAAACACACAGAACAATCTAAACCCAGACACAGTGCAAACATAATGACAGTTTAGCAAAAGTAAAAATAATTTACTTTAAAATTTCTAAAAAATATGTTTTCAGTCAGAGGAAGTTGTTGCCTTTGAGACATAGTAGCAGGTTCAAAGCAGGAAGTAAGTTAATGAATGGGGAAGTCAAGTTGATTTGGCAATAGATGAGAAGTCAACAATTTGTTCTCAGTACCCTGTGAATGCCTTCATTTAAAATGATGTTGGATATTTAGTGCAGAAATATAAAGCAGGAAATGATGCAGCATCACATCAATATATATCAATCACAACACTTCACAATCAGTCTACAATTTCTAGCTTACTAATACAGGGTATTTTATCAGGGGAAGGGACTTTCACTTCAGAAACTTGTGCAGCAAATGATGATAGATCCCTCTTCATGGCATAGGCATCTTCTCCATCCGCATAGTACTTAGGTTCAATTTCAGAAATTTCAAACTTCAATGTGTTGGTGTAGAGATGTAAAGCAGGTCTGTTTGAAATTCTCACATGCAGCGATACATATTTAGCTTTAAAACATTCAACCATAGCATAAGAGGCCTGAAGGAAGAAAAAGATAAGGTTGTTAAGAGACACCCCAAATGAGAAATAATAACATTTTACCTGAGATAAATGAAAGTTGAAAATTTACCTGGTCCATAAGCTTCTGGGCAAGTCCAAGCCTTCTGTGAGACCGCTTGACAGCAAGAGATGTAATATGGCCATGGGGGTTGTCTTCAGAGTCCTCTTCCATTTTGGCTAAAACGTAACCCACAATCTCTCCTTTCTGATCTTCAGCAACATAACTTAACTGAGGCCAAGATAAACCATGGTAAAAGTAATACTTCATTTGGTAATTTTCTGGCAAGCATAACAAATTACAATGCTGCATATTCATAAGGTCCTCAGGTCTTGCACAGCGGATATTCATCTTGAGAGATGTGCTTAGACTGCAGACTAGGTGAAGTTATTCTCGTCTTGTCTTCTTGGCTCTCGACCTACCAGTCTTGAGCTCAGCAACAGTCCTGGATTCGGATCGACTTCCTAGCAGATCACGGACAAAGCGGAAGCGGGATAGGAAGAATTTCCATACAAGGAACCAACCTGAAATGAAACAAAATTCATTACCAAACAAACGAATAATTCCTCAAAAAGAATTTATAAAACAAAACAGGGAACACGTGATTAAACTGTGTGAAATATGAAAATAAAATCCCTTTCATGGAGCAGAGAACAGTGAAAATGTACATGCAGAACAAATCAATGTAATGAATGGAGCAGACAGAATTTTGTTGTAATGACATAACAAAGGTAAATTAAGAAGTTAGCACAAAACAGTTCAGTAAAACTTAAAGAGCTCTTGATTCTAAACTTTAAAGGTCAAACTAAAGACAGGCACTCATAAAAAATCAAAGTTAATTAAAATAAATGAAGATTTATAAACATATGAAACAGAGCACACACGGCGCACCATAACCTAACTTTAATAGCTTCCGCTCAGGCTTGCTTTTCTGAGTTGTGAATTCCTGATATCCGTACTGTCTTACCTAATGCAACCAAGGCCAATACAAGGGTGAGTGATGAAAACAGCGAAAAAAGGGCAAGCACAATTTCCTTCATCATAGGCAATGTAATCTTTTAGTATGTTTTATTTTTCACGACACACACGTTGCGAGGTAAGACAAAGTCTACTGGGGACATCCAGACAAATCTACTTTAACTACCTGTATCTTTTTAAAGTTAAATTTAAGGCGAAATTTCATGGAATTACATAAATTCACAAAGACTCTGAAAAATCTTGCACACTCATGAGCAAATCTACAAAAATACTTTACCATTCACCTGTCTTCTGTTCTGTAGTAAAGCGACACAAAGAGAGACTGATTCATATCCACGTTCATATTCAAGTACGTGACGGCTTGAGGGAGGCTAGGGAAGTCCACTCACAAATTTTTCATATACAGTAGTTTCCAGTTTATCTTGGTTCGCGTCGGAGTTAGCGTGCCGGGCCTACAGCAGCAAGAAGCTGGCGTCGAGGCTGAGCGGGTCGAGGGAATCTCTTCCCTCAACAAACAACTTGTCGCCTTGTCAGCTGAGTTTTTTGAGCGCAGCGTTGGAGCTCCAATGGAGTTCGACCAATCAGCGTAGACGTGCGGCAGACACCCCCCACCTCCCCTCTTGACAACACTCCCGCCCCGAAACATTTTGGCGGCAAATGGCCGGTTGTCTGACAGAACACTTTTGTACTGAAATTTAAGCGTCTGTGTTTTAAATCGCGATTGGCACTGGTAAGTGATATATTGTTTGTTCAGCTGGTAGGTGCCCTGTGTGTGCTGTGAAGTAGTACTCGACAAGTGTAAGGTGTGGAATAAGGAAATATTCTTTTTGGTTTCTTTAACCTTTTTCTTTTCTGGAAAGTTATACACAAGTGTCTGTCACTTATTGTAATTTGAGCTTTCTTCCTGTTGGTGTATTGTGTGTTGACCCGTTTTTACGTGCTGTCTCATTTCAGCCCTTGAACTGTACATGACTGACAACTGAATCGAAAACAGAAAATGCGTCGCTCAGCTGCTCCTTCATCTCGCCATGGACTGCTTGGAAGACCTCCTGGCACCAACGAAAACAGCTTCCCCTCATCTTCCAAAAGCAACATTCTCTCATCTTCACCAGTCCTTCAGAAGCCTTCCTCTACCAATTATCAGACCAGTGTTCCAGCTTCATCCAACGGTACGTGTTTCGCTAATTTATTTAATGTCAAAATGGCTTTTCTATTCATATAATGCTATTTTTTTTCTGATTCGCAGGAGCTCTGGCCATAAGAAGCACTGCCAGTGTGCTGAGCTTGTTAGGCCAACTGAAAAGACCAAACTCACAGGCCAGTCCTCCTGACCAAGAAACAAGACAGGAAAAGTGTGGGGAGCAACGGATTGGTAACAATGCAGGCACGCTCGAGGTTCCAGCTCCTTCTTCCTCTGTCGGAAATGATTCAGTGTCCACTAAAAGGTAATTATTTCCCCTATTGATAGGCTTTACCTTTACCCTTATTCCTTATTTGATCCACATTTGTCCTATCATTTTCTTTTCGTAGAATATTTCGGGTTGTTTGGGGTAAACCATCATCAAAAAAACACAAGACATGGGAAGGTGATGGAACTCTTGAAGTCGGAGAGAAGACAGCAACATTGATGGTTAATTTTGTTCTTCTCTTGAATGCTGACTTGAATGAGTCTTTGCTGCATGTCATTGCATTTTTGATTCCTCTGTTGCAGGATGAAGAAGGAAAAGTACTCGGCCGAGCTACTCAAGTTAAAACTGATCTACTGGAGGAAGGTAGCCGAATGAAAGTTGGTGGGAAAGAGGTTGAGGTATGTTATTCAAAGCCTCAAATCGCCCCTTTGTATGTGCTCTTTAATCTTTACTTTGGCCCATGGAAGGAATTCAGAATAAACGAGTATTGTGTTAAGTGAGGTGTAACAAGAATGGCTTTCTGTTCTCCTTGAAATGCATTATGGTTATTCAAGTATTATTTACCAAAGCTCAGTGTGCATACTTGAAGTCATAATAGAACTATTCCAGATGATTTCATGAAATTTTGAGAACACTTAATAAGATATTTGAGGGTGCTGTGCTGTAGGGACAGGAGTACAACATTAAGAGACTTATTACTTTGAAATTTGCAGTTGATTGACCTCCTGAGTGGCCCTGTCATCAATAATGAAGTGGTGCCTACAACCACATCATCTAAGCGTGCTGCCTCTGAACCTGCTGATGATCTGCCCTCTACGTCCTGGAAAAAGCCAAAGAAGAAAACCACACACTCATTGGTTAAATTTACAACTGAAGGATGTGACGCTCTTGTTTTACCTTCACCTTCTAATGACCACCAGGTGCTGTAAATAGCCTCTGTTCTGCAATTTTATTAAATATTACAATATAAATTTGGTATTTCGTTTTTATAATTTTGTTTTGACTTTCCTAGTGGACCTTTAATCCTAGAAAACTTCCAGTAACTCAAGTTGCTGTTGATAGCTTTCTTTCAAGAGTGTTGCGCCCACATCAAAAAGAAGGAGTTACCTTCCTATATGAATGTGTCATGGGCATGAAGAATAGCCAGTATTTTGGTTCAATTTTAGCTGATGAAATGGGACTTGGGAAAACACTGCAGACTATTACTTTACTCTGGTAAGAGCAACCATTTACAGGTGATCAACCTGTTGTTAGCAATTTCCTCCATTTCAATATTCAACTGTATTATTTCTAGGACTCTTCTTCGTAAGGGTCCCTATGGGGGATATCCTGTTGTGAGACGTGCTCTTGTGGTTAGTCCAAGCAGTCTTGTTCTCAACTGGCAAAAGGAGTTTGACCGCTGGCTGGGAAAACATCGCTTGCGGACCTTTGCTGTAGATCAGGTGAATTTTATTTCATTCATTACTCTACTATCTTGAGAAAAGTTAATTAAAAAGTATGTTTTGTCTTATGCTTTCCATTTTAGAAAAATAAAGTTACAGAATTTGCTAGACTTACTCAAATACCCATTATGCTTATATCATATGAAATGCTTATGCGTAATTTTGATGATATAAGCCAAATTAAATTTGACATCCTTGTATGTGATGAAGGCCATCGCCTTAAAAATAATAACATACGCACATCCGTGGTCTGTAAATCAATTTGAAATGGTTTTGATATTTCTCTCAATAAATTTTCTGATCTATTAATAGTTTTATGTTTACAGCTTCTGAATCAGCTTGAAATAAAAGCCAGAGTTCTTCTTACTGGTACCCCTATACAGAATGACCTTCAAGAATTTTATGCCCTTGTAGACTTTGTTAATCCTGGAATTTTGGGTTCAGCTCAAGGTACAATTTCTAAGGCCACTCATTTATTTGAAATTTTTATAAATTCATTTTCCATTTCCCCTTTGTTTTGAAAGAATTCCGCAAGAAATTTGAGGAGCCCATTGTTGCTTCCCGCCAGCCCAACTGTACAAATGATGAGCAAGTTCTTGGAGATGAGAGAGCTCTTGAACTGAACTCAAGAACATCTTGTTTTATCTTGCGTAGAACACAGGCTGTCATTAATCAATATCTGCCCACGAAAACAGAAATAGTGGTTTTCATCAAGCCAGTTCCTATTCAAGTATGAATTTTTTTATAAAATATTGTTTGATTTAAAATTTTTGCATTGTGACTTTGGGACTTACATCTAATACCTATCTATTTAGAGAAATCTTTGCCGAGCAGCTCTGGACTGGTGGGAAAATCGGGATCGCAACCCAGGCTCTGGTGATGTCTGTCACCTTGGAGTTATGACTGCACTGAAAAAAATATGTAACCATCCAGCACTTATTAAATGTGAAAACCTTTTTGAGGATGATCCTGACGATGACACAGGTTCTTACCAAGTAAGCCAAGTTATCTGATGATATACTTCAAGAACATATCTCCTGCATAACTTTTATCTAAACTTTTTAGGAATCTCTTCTTCAAGAACTTTCAAACTTTTACAATGGATATGAGGGTGGAAATGTGGCTGTGCACCATTCAGCAAAGCTAACTGTGGTGCGAAGGTTAATGGAACATACACTTGGTCTGGGAGAAAGAATGGTGCTTGTTTCTTACTTTACTCAGGTCTGTAACTCTTCAAATGCATCACACCTTCACAGACATATAAACAATCTTGAATGGTTATTAATTTTTCCAGACCCTAGATCTACTTGCATCACTATGTGATGAAATGGGCCTTCGATATTGTCGTTTGGATGGTTCAACTCCTTCAACACAGCGTACAGCCATTGTTGATGAATTTAATGCAACTTATTCCCAAAGTGGTAATTTGAAAAATGAAATAGTAAAGGGTGTAAAATGAGTTCCATTCTTGTGATCTTTCTTAAAACAGGCTGCATATTTTTACTTGTTTTGTCATTTTCAGTAATATTCCTTTTAAGTGCACGTGCTGGTGGTGTGGGGTTGAACTTGGTTGGGGCTTCAAGACTTGTTCTTTTCGATTCTGACTGGAATCCTGCCTCAGATGCTCAGGCCATGTCTCGAATATGGCGGGATGGACAGCGTAAAAGTGTTTACATCTACAGGTATTGTTTAAAGCGGTCTATGTTTTACTTTCTGTTTTAACATCGCCATTAAATTTAGAAGCCTAACTTAATGTCTAATCATTCTTTCTCACACTACAAGGCTATTGACTTGCGGCACAATTGAAGAGAAGATTTTTCAACGCCAGCTGAGCAAAGCTGGACTTAGTGGAGCTGTTGTAGATCCTCAGAAACGAAGCAAAATAAAACTTTCCAAAGAGGAACTGAAAGTATGTACATTAAATTATCGCATTATTTATGTTAAGGTAGGTAAATACTACACTAACTTCATTAATTTTTGCCTTTTTAGGACCTTTTCACTTTTCACAGTGGGGAAGAAAGCATCACACATTGTTCTCTAAACTGTAACTGTGATGGTTCTGGGTCAGTTCCCTCTCCTGGTGATTCATCTTTTTCTGATGACAAAGAGAATGAGTTGGACGATGATGAGAGAGACTGCCAGTTGCGTTTAGGTTCTAAATCTAAACATGACCAAAATGAACAAGGCGACCTGCGCATGAACCAGCTGTTCCAGTGGCAACATCATGGTCCTCCTTTTGTTAATAATGCAGTACAGGTTGACTTCATTTTCATTTTATCCTGTGTCTTTTTTATGCTTACTGGAAATGTACTGAATGAATTTTTGTTCTGTTGCAGCTTCTGGGCCTTTTGCAAGCTTCCGACCTCCTGGCTTTTATGTTTGTCTCCCCACCATCAACAGAACCCCATGCTTGAAAAGAGAGTAGTGATCAATGTCCGGGAGCCCTATGAATCTGGTCATCTGTTATCTTTTGTTTACTTACTTCTGGATAGAAACTACAGTACGTTTTTATTTTTTTAATGTTGATGTGAAAATTTGTTCCAATTATGTACGTTTTTTGTGTTTATATAAGTTTATATTATTTTTGTTCAAATAATACTGATTGTTATCTTATATGACTAGTTGTCAAGCTGGAAATACTGTATTCCTAGTCTCATGTCACAGTCAAAAAGTGTCATGTTTTTACCTGTGATAATGAAATATGAGTGTTTGGCATAACAAAATGCTACAACAGTTTATTTGCAATCTATGTACAGCCAAATATTTAAAAAAATATTTATAATAAATTATGAAGTAGTAAACAAAATATACACTTAATCAACATATTTCAAGCTTGAGAAAACAAGCTATCCATCACAAAAGGGGGAAAAAGAGAGAAGAGAAACACAGGACAGTTTAGCCATGACCTGCAGCTGCAACAAATGGTGCATGTTGAAGAGCTGGTTTTGCAGCATCTCGACATATACCTGTAAGTATTCTAACCAAGGCAAAGGCCAATAGAGCATTAATTCCTAGTCAAATATTAATATTTTCAGGGAAAATATGCACTAACTTTGTTAAATGCTACAGTGACAAGGTACTTCAACTCATATGTCCTAAATTTTAGTCAGAAAACATACAGTTCACTGAAAACATTTGTTGGTTGTTGGAGGAAAACAAAAAACCGAGCTGTGAGCTACATAGCATAACTAAATTGGAACCTCTAGGGATCACAGTGACACTTCAACATGAGTTCTACTCCTATATAATTTTGAAATTACTTAAAAAGCACTGTACAAATATGTCATGTAATAAAATAAAGACCCATCAAGATAACATTTTACTTGCCATCCAATTGGTTCTTCAGAACTTCGACTTTGGTATGTATGATTTAAAAGCCCTTGTCAAAGAAAATAGCTGCAATTTTAGAAGAACATTCATTGTTCCCAAAACACCTCTTGTTAAGTATCGGCTCCTTCCGGAATGGAAACTAAAATTAATAACACAAATATATACCATTGAACATCATTGTGAAAGTAATATCATTGTACAACTAAAGTTGTAAAAAAAATAATTAAAATTAGTATACAAGGGTGTCAGGCATACCATTACATTCTTTGGTCGCACTTTCCTCAATCACAGAAAAGGTTGTGCACACATCACAAGGACTCAAGCTAACATCTCACTAATCAGAATGCTAATGACTTTGTACTTTATACAACACTGTACAAACAAACTATCACTTTACATAAAGAACCACTTACACAGTCATATAAAATTTAGTAAACAATGAATACCACATAAGAATTAGTTAAATGCATAACTAAGATATGTCCATGGACTGACTGACCAACTGATCATTCTACTTGAACACATGAGGTAGAAATTTGTTTATGTTAACAAGATTAATGTAAGATGGTTCTCAATCAATGTAAAATGATATTTTTGTTCACGTGAGAAATGATGTGATGTTTCACTTCATGAGGGAGGCAATCTTCACAGCCGATTCTCCAATGATAACTTCTCTGTGGTTTCCAGGAAGAGGATGGATTTTCACAGGACCTGAGCAGACCTGTTTTCCAAGAACAAAAGAAAAAGACAATCAATAAAATGAATTTTGTTGCAAGAAATAAGTTTACCCACATTTTTTTGGTGACAATGTAATTTACCTCTTTGAGACCATAGTCTTCACCAAGGTTGAGGAAGTTGTCCTTTGCCCTAACGAAAAGGACGGGACCATTGAATTTCTTGGATGGTTTGTAAGCTTCTGACATGACCAGTTTCTTGTAGAATGAGGTAGCGGCCTTGGCTAGCATGTCACTGGAGTAAGGGGTAGCATTCTTGAGAAGTTCAGAGACACGTGCAAGTCTGGCCTGGAAGTTGGGCAAGGCAGCCAACTCTTGTTGAGTCTGAAACACAAGGACAGCAATATTCAGACACATTCAAATCCTGGTAATAAAATTAAAAGCCTTGAAATTGATTGTTTACCTTGGCGTAGTCCAGGTCTCGGAAGAGCAGGGTGAAGTAGGTGAGGGCGTCAGCCTCGGGCGAGAGGTCGGCGTGGTTGGCGCGGTAGCTGCCGGTGTGGGCCGCCACGTAGGAGTGGGAGCCGTCCAAGAGGGTCAGCTCCACCTTCTCTCCCTCCTTCTCCAGCTGGAGGGCCATCTCGAAGGCGAGGCATGCTCCGAAGGAGTAGCCCACCAGGGAGTAGGGTCCCTTGGCCTGCTTGGCCCTGACCTGCTTCAGGTAGAAGGATGACAGCTCGGGGATGCTGTTGAGAGGAGCCTGCTCGGTGCACTGGAGACCCCAGACGGGGCGCTGCAGCAGCTTGGCCAGGGGCATGAGCGCCGTCACGTCTCCCTCGATGGGGTGCACCATGAAGACGGGGGGCAGGGTGCTGTCGGCAGCGGCGGCAGAGGGCATCTTGACCACCACCTCGGTGGGGATCAGAGAGCTGATTTGTCCGTACTTGACCTGTCAACGGCGACACATGTAAATTAGTATTCATGCTACAACAGTTTCTCACTCAGGCTCCAAAACGTGGGAGTGATGACGGATCCCCTACGGCCGTACCTGCACGTCCTTGGCAGGAGAGGCAGCGGTAGCCTCACCGCTGCCGCCACCAGACATGGAGGACAGCTTGCCCATGGTCAGACCGCGGATCTCCTGGGCGCTAAGCACGATGTCGTAGTTGCGCTCCAGGACCTGCTTCACCTCGGCTCCCATGATGGAGTCCATGCCCAGGTCGGCCAGAGTCTGGGACTGCGACATGGTCTTGGCGTCCTTGATGCCTGCAAACGCAACGAGCGACGTTAATTAACACGGTGGTACTTCCCCACCCCGCCGAGGGCCAAGGACTGCAGGCCGAAGGGTGGCACAGCGGCGCCGAGGCCGAGACCGCCGCCAAGACTCACCGAGAATGTTGGCGATGGCGTCGACGGCGCTCACGGAGGACTCCTTGTTGCCGCCGCGGCGCTTGGTGGCCAAGACCATGGAAGCCAGCACGGGCTGGGGCTGCTGCAGGAAGGTGTCCATGGTGTTGAGGCAGGACTGGATGCGCTGGGGCAGGGTGCCTCCGACCTCGGTGTCGTTGCCACCCATGGTCTCCAGGATGAGACCGACGTCGCCGATGGCTCCCCACTGGATGGCGACTCCAGGCAGGCCGCTGGCCTGGCGGGCCTCGCACAGCCTCTCCATGGCCGAGTTGGCCAGACCGTAGTTAGATTGGCCGGCGTTACCGCGACCGCACGAGATGGACGAGAAGCACACGAAGTAGTCGAGCTCGGGGCACAGGGTGCGGGACGCCTTGTCCAGCTCGATGGTGCCGGCGACCTTGGGCATGCACACGGCCGCGAAGTCAGCCTCCGACAGGTTCTCGATGTAGGCGTCGCGCAGCACGACGGCGAGGTTGAAGATGCCGCCCACGGGGCCCATCTTGGCGGCCTCGGACAGCAGCTTCTGCGCGCCCTGCGCGGTGTTGCAGTCCGTGGTGGACACGAGCACGTTGGCACCCATCTCCCTCCAGCGACGGACGCACAGGGACTGGTAGCCGGTGCGCACGCCGGAGCGGGAGGTGAGCACGATCTTCTTGGCACCGCGGAGCACCAGCCAGTGGGCCAGCTCCAGACCGAAGCCACCGAGACCGCCGACCAGGACGTAGCTCTTGTCGGGGTTCATGTAGGTGCGGGGGATGGCGGACACCAGCTTGGGAGTGGGCTTGACCACCTTGGCGCCCTCCTCCTTGCGGATCTGCAGGAGCACCTTACCGATGTGCTTGCCGGAGGCCATGAAACTGTAAAGGAAGGCACAGGGGCGGTGAGAAGAGGCAAAGGCCTGCAAAAGCGGACACTGCGCGGACACTGCTTGGGTTTGGCACAACTTACCGGAAGGCCTGCTCGGTCTGCTGCTCGCTGAACACGGTCACGGGCAGGGGGCGGACGGCGCCGCTCTTGATGCCCTCGCTCACGAGGCGCACCACCTCCTCCTTCTCGCCACCGGTCGTCTCGAACAGGGCGTCCAGCAGGATGCCGTGGAAGGTGACGTTCTTGAGGAACAGGGCCATGCCGAGCGGGTTGTTGTTGGACAGATCGTACTTGCCGATCTCGAGGAAGCGGCCGTGCTTGGCCACGCAGCGCACGGAGGCCTGCAGCTTCTCCTCGGCCAGGGAGTTGAGGACGAGGTCCACACCGCGGCCCTTGGTGTGGGCCAGCACGTGCTGCTCGAAGGTGGTGTCACGGGAGTTGGCGATGTTGGCGTCGCTCAGCTGGGGGAAGGTCTTCTTGAGGAAGTCGCGCTTCTCCTGGCTGCCCACGGTGGTGAACACGGTGCAGCCCATGTGCAGGGCGATGGCGATGGCGGCCTGGCCCACACCACCGGTACCGGCGTGGATCAGCACGGACTCGCCGCGACGCATGCGGCCGCGCACCACCAGCGCGTAGTAGCTCTGTAAGCAAACCGACCACCGCGTTAGCTTCGCCGCCACACCGAGTCTCGGAGCGCGCTGCGCTGGCCACGCTACGCGTAGCGCCTGCTAGCGCCTGCGACCTCCAGGGTAGGCCACACGCGCCACGCCCGAGCGCCAAGGCGCTGGCGTTGCCTACCTCGCGTCAACTTACCGTGGCGTAGCAGACGGGCACGGAGGCGGCCTGCTCCAGGGTCCAGTTGTCGGGCACCTCCCAGAGGAAGCCGGGGTCGGCGAGGACGGTGGTGGCGAGGGAACGCGCGGCCACCATGCCCATGACGCGGCGGCCCTTGGAGTCGCGGCCGGAGAACTCGAGACCCAGGATGCAGTCCTGGCCGGCCAGGTCACCGGGCAGCGCGTCTGGGGGCAGCTTGCCACTGGCCAACATGATGTCACGGAAGTTGAGCGGAGCGTAGTACACGCTGCACATCTCGACGTCGGGGTGGTGCTCGGGGCGGTAGAAGGTGAGGGGGCCCTCGATCCAGCGCAGGGAGGACAGGTCACCGCGGGACAGGGTGTTGATGTAGGCGTGCTCGACCTGAAAGCGACGAGAAGAAATTGGTGTTAACCTCGAACTCAAGACGGCGCTGCCCTCGAGGTTGGAGGCGCTTGCTGCGCTTGCTGCGCTCGCTTACCTGGAGGGAGGCGGCGTCGCGAGAGTCGTCGATCAGCATGTGGCGGTAGCAACCCCAGACGCTGCCGGGCCGGAGCACGTTGGTGCGCAGGTCCTTGGCCAGCTGGTCGGCGTACAGGGGCAGCTTGAGGTTGAAGGCGGGGGCCCTGGGGTCCTGGATGAGGACGGCGCGGACGTTCTGACCGCCGGGCTCCAGGAACAAGCAGTTGACCATACCGACCATACCGCTGTTCTCCTCGCCCTGGCTCACCAGGACGATCTTCTTGCCCTCGGCCTCGCTCTGCACCATGGCGGCCTTGAGCGGCTCCACCCAGCTGAAGTTGGTGTTGCTGATGGGGATGACGGTGGGCACGCCGAGGTCGGCGGCCTTGCGCAGCATCACGAAGCTGCGGCTGTCGGCGGCCTGCTTGGACACCAGCACCATGCCGGGCACGGCGATCTTGGCCTCGTCCACGTTGGCAGCCTCCTCGAGCAGCAGGAAGCCGCCAGGCTTGATGGAGTCCACGATGTTGGTCCAGAAGGTGGCGTCGCTGACCTTGGCGACATCGGTGGCGACCATCATGTGGATGCCGGCGTTGGCGTCCAGGGGACCGGTGGTGCCATCGGAACGCAGCAGCTTCATGCCCAGCTCCTCCAGCTCGGGCAAAAGGGCCTCTTCGGTGGTGGTGGCGACGGTGGCCTCGACGTGGAGCATAGGTTCGTTCTCTATGATCTTGACCAGGGCGGGGGCGAGCAGAGCTTCCTGGGAGCGTTCGCCCAGCAGCTCCATGACCTTGATCTTGAGCGCGCCCAAGTTCTCAGAGGCGGTCTGGGTGGCTGCGATGAGCGCGGCGTTGCGGGCAGCGCCGGGCTTGTCGGCCTCCAGGGAGAGGGTGTTCTTGAAGGGCACGAACACGTACTTCTCCATCTTGGGGTCGGCCTGGGAGCCCTGGCGACGGGGCGCGAGGCTGGCCTTCATGCCGCGGATCTCGATACCTCCGGCCTGCATCAGGTTGATGTCGCCGTAGTTGGCCACGGGGATGGCGGCGTCCTCGCCGGACAGGGCGTCCACGAAGGTCTTGTGGCGCTTGGGGTCCACGACGACGCGCTGCACGCGGGTAGGCAGGTACAGCTCACGGCCGGGCTTGCCCAGGATGCTGAACTGCAGCATGGTGTCCATGAAGCTGACCCAGTTGTCCACCCAGCGCAGGGAGCCCTCGTGACCGTAGTTGTCGGAGTCCTTGATGCCCTGGAAGATGCCCATGTAGTCGTAGCCGCGCAGGCGCAGGTCCTTGTAGATGTCGGGGGTGGTGAGGCGCAGCACGCCGTTCTCGGGGGTCTTGTTGACGGGGCCCATCTTGGCGAACATGCCGTCCAGGCCGTCCTCCGGCATGTAGATGCGGCCGGTGACGGCCACGCTGCCGGACTCGCACACCTCGAAGGCGCCGGAGCCGTCCATGATGCTGATGAGGAACTTGACGGGGCCCTCCGGCGGCATGATGGTGGCGCGGTGGAACTGCAGGTCCTCCATGACGACGCCCATGTCGTCGATGGACTTGTTGTTCAGCTTGGCGAAGGTCTTCCAGACTAGGGTCTGTGGAAAGCACCAACAGCGCCATGAGCATCTTAACCGAAATTTCCCACGTAAACCTGTTCACGTCCACAATTTAGTTGCGCGCGCGCCGCGTTTCAGTTTGAATGTTTTGCGTATGGGATCAAAGGAAGCCTTTCGAAGCCATTTCGGTAATGCCATTCTGCCGGTTCTGGTGGGTTAGTGGAATTCCCCGCGGGCCAGGGGCCGGGCCGCGACCAGCGAGCACGCGTTGCCGCGCGACCTTGCGTGCCATCGGCCAAATCCCCAATCGGCCCATTTCCGAGTCTAATTCGCGCATCCTCATTACTGATTGCACCTCTCCGCGCCACTAGGCAGGCGAGGTGGGCGAGCTTGCACCGGGGACCGGGACCCTTCGGCCACGGCTGGGGACCGCGGGGGCCGGTGGGGGCGGGACGCCCACGTGGATGACGACACGACGGGCCGGCGGCAACAACTACACTGCACTGCTGACACCAGCGAGGCCGCGAGGCCAGTCCTTCCCTAACCGAACTCCCAACGCCGATGAGTGAGAGCAAAGGCAGAGGCCGTGCGTGGGAAAGGCAGGCGGATCCGGGATCGCCGCTCTGCTCGCCTCCAAGAGTCGCAACGGAGAGGCGCCGCTATGTTGTCCCGCGGCTCGCGGCTCGGAAATGCTAACACGCCATGCTGAGTATTTTATTCGAGTTTGGAGGGGACGGGCGGGGCGCCTCTGGAAACCAGTTTCGGGACCCAGCACTGCTTTTATTTCCAAATCGCATCGGAAGCCGAATTGGCGTGGGCACCACGCATTAGCGTGTAAGGAAATGGCTGTGGCCCCGCGGCCCCGCGGCCCCTCTGGCCCACTGCGCGACCCGCGGCGCGACCACGTGCTTACCCCACCCCGAATCTACTTACCAGGTAGCCGGTGGCGGGGAAGATGACGCGCCCGTCAATGGTGTGTCCCACCAAGTACTTGTCCGCGTCCTTGCTGACGTCAACCTCGATGACGCTCTCGCCGGAACGGGAGCCCTTGCCGGAGAAGTCCGCCACGGCCCACTCGGTGGAGTGGTCCCACTTGACCATGGAGGCCAGCATGGGGGTGCCGCGGGCCACGGGGTACTTGACGGGGGCGACCAGGCGGCCGAACTGGGGCTGACCACCGGCGATGTAGGCCCTGCACAAGAGTCATGGGGTGAGTGCGTGCGAGAGGGTAAGATGACGGAGTGGGCGGAGGCAGCGGCCGCTGCCGGGTGGTGCGGCGGAACAGCACAACACTTACTTGCCGAGGCTGGACATGAGGAACTGGAGGTTGTCGGGGTGGTCGCGCTTCATGAGGCCGACGCTGGTGACGCCGGTGCCGCGGGCGCGCTTGATGATGGCCTGCAGCAGGCAGTGGGGGGCGATCTCGATGACCAGCGCGTTCTCGGGCACGTGCTGCAGGGCCTCGGCGAAGAGCACGGGGGACAGCAGGTTGTTGACGTGGTAGTCCACGGAGGACAGCTTGGCCAGGGGCGAGTTCCAGTCCTTCTCGGGGATGGAGGTACTCAGCCAGCGGGAGGAGCGGGGCTTGGGGTTGGGCAGCAGCGCCTCCAGGCTCTTCTTGAGCTTGGGGCCGGCCTCGGCGACGTACTTGGAGTGGAAGGCCACGCCGGAGCTGGCGACCTCCTTGGCGAAGATGCCCTCAGCCTGCAGGCTGGCGACGAATTTGGAGATGGATGGAGGGGGGCCGGAGATGGTGACGGAGTCGGCCGAGTTGTGGCAGGCGGCGATGATGTCCTCAGGCACGCGAGCCTTCACCTCCTCCCAGCTCAGGCCGATGGCGGCCATGGCGCCGGGAGCGAGCTTGCTCTCCAGGATGGCGCGGCCTCGCCAGTAGGCGGCCAGGACGGTCTGCTCGGCGGTGAAGGTGCCGTCGGCGTAGGCGCAGCCCAGCTCGCCGACGGAGTGGCCCACGATGCCGTCGGGCTCGATGCCCATGGCGTGCAGGGTGTCGACCAGGGCCACCTGGACGGCGGCGATGGACACGAACGAGTTGAGCACGTTCTCGTAGGTCTTGGCGTCGCTCTTGGTCAGCAGGTCAACGAGGTTCACGCTGTGGGGCTTGAGGGCGGCAGCGCAGACGTTGATGGCCTTGGCGAAGGGCTCCAGGCGCATCATGCTCTTGGCCATGGAGGCCCACTGCGAGCCCATGCCGGAGAACACCCACCAAACGGGGCGGCCGGCCTCGCCAGCCATGGCAACCTCGCGGGTGGGTTCGGCGGCGCCCAGAAGTGTGTAGCCGCGGAAGCCGTGGCCTGCGATGTTCTGGCGGTGGATGTCGGAGAGGAGGGCGTAGAACTCCTCGTCCTTGTTCTTCTCGACCTCGTCCAGGAGGTGGTTGACGGCCTCCTCCGTGCGGCCGGACACGGCGATGACGCGGGGCACCTCGGTGGCAGGCGCGGCGTTGACCTTGTTCTTGGGGTTGGACTTGAGGATGACGTGGGCGTTGGCACCGCCGAAACCGAAGGAGTTGATGGCGGCCATGCCCCCGTTCCAGGGCCAGTTCTTGTGCACCACCTGCAGGCGGCCGTCGTTGAGGGCGGCGATCTCCTTGTTGGCCTCCTTGAAGTGGAGGTTGCCGGGAATCATGCCGCGCTCCATGGCGATCAGCACCTTGGCGATGGAGCACAGGCCGGAGGCGGGCTCGGAGTGGCCCATGTTGGACTTGACGGAACCGATCAGCAGAGGGGTGGTGCGGTTCTTGCAGAACACGTCGGCGATGGAGTTGACTTCCTGGGGGTCGCCCACCTTGGTGCCGGTGCCGTGGGCCTCGACGTAGGCCACGTCGGCGGGGTTGACGCCGACCTCGTTGTACACGCGCTCGATGAGCCTCCTCTGCATGCCTCCGGCGGGGAAGGTGATGCCCTGCTCCTTGTTACCGTCGGTGTTGGTGCCGGCGTTGAGCACGGTGGCGTACACACGCCTGGCGTTGGACGCCTTCTGCAGCAGGATCACCACGGCGGCCTCAGAGCGTACGTAGCCGTTGCCGGAGGAGTCGAAGGCCTTGCACATTCCCTGGGGGCTCAACATGTTGAGGCGGTGGAACTGCAGGGAGCTGGCGGGCTTGAGCAGCAGGTTGCAGCCGCCCACGATGGCGCTGTCGCACTGGCCGTCGCGCATGGCCTGCACGGCCTGCTGCAGGGCGAACATGCTGGAGGAACACGCCGTGTCGATGGCGTAGGACGGGCCGCTGAAGTCGAAGGTGTACGACAGGCGGTTGGGGAACATGGCGCGGCAGCAGCCGGTCAGACCGTAGCCGTTGACGCGGTCCGGGTCCTGGGTCCAGTACTCGTCGGACTCACTGCTGGACACACCGATGAACACGCCGGTGCGGGTGCCGCGCAGCTCGGACGGGTTGAAGCCGGCGTCCACGATGGCCTCGTAGGTCAGCTCCAGCAGCATGCGTAGCTGGGGGTCCATGACACGGGCCTGCTTGGCGTGCACGCCGAAGAACTGTGCGTCGAAGTGCGTCAGGTCCTTGAGTTTGCCGCATCGCTCGGGCAAGCCGTGGAGGCCTAGAAGTAGAACGCGCTGCGGTGAGAAAAAGGTCCTCGCCGGAGCCGAGACTCGGACTCGAACCACGGACTCGTGCGCGTCCCCTACCTGTGGGCCAGCGGCGGTCGTCTGCCGTCACTAGGTCGACTCCAGCGAAGAGCTGGTCCTTGAACTCCTCGATGGAGTTGCTCTCGGGCAGGCGCCCGGAGAGACCAGTGATGACGATGTCGTTGTGGGAGTTGGTGGGAGCTCCCATCTCGGGCATGATGTCTGAGCGGGCAGGCATGTTTGCGGCTGCTGCAACAGAGAATGGAACTCGGTCACGTTTCGATACTGAGTCAAAAAGTTGCAAGGCAGAGCGTCATGAACGATGTGGAGGATGTCACATTGACGCGGGCCGCGGTCATGAGCGTGACCCGCTAATATGCGATAAACCCCGGCCGCACCGAGGGCCGCCCCCACCCGGACCGGACCACCCCACCAATTGGCGGTCGGCGAAGCCTTGAACTCTGCAACCCGTCACGTAATAGAGCGACGATATCAGGCAGGGCGGGGCGCGCGCCGCGCGTCGGACTGGTGCCAGTTAGCCAGTTATCGGTTACGCAAAGTCGCTGTCACTGCACCCTCGGCGCGGCCCTGGCCCTGGCCATGGCCCTGGCCCTGCGCGAGGCTAGAATGCGGCCGCGAGGGCGACTCAACGCGACCGGCCGCGAAATGGCCAATCCTGCGACCTCGCCTCGCGGCTCGCGGCCGGCCCTACTGCCCTACGCGCCGTGCGGGGTGGGGCGGGGTGGGGCGGGGCTGGAGCGTGGCCAAGCGTGGCCAGCGCCGCGCGGCCGCGAGACCGCGGGCAGGACCTCGCCGATCGGACCGGCTGAGGACCACGCCGCCACGCCGCCCACGCCGGGCCGGCCCTTTCAGGTCCAGTTGTTGTCCGCGTCCACCGCCGCCGCCACGCGTGTGCCCCGCGCCCCGCCGTCCGCGCCCCGCCGCGATCCGCGTAATGTGACGGCGAGGACGAGCGCAAACCAAATAGTGCGCCCGGTTCCCCCGCCCACCGGCCGAGTTACATGCTCCGGTGTGACTTTTGGCCGGTTTTAGCGGCCTGTCACCTCGCAGCGCGGCATGGCGCGGCATGGCGCGGCCGGCAGGAAGCGGACGCTGGCGTGCAGAGTGCACCGCGCAATAGAGGCTGTAGAGGGCCGGGCCGCCACGCCGCCAGGCCAGGACGGCGGGGGCCTCGCTCGGGGCCTCGGCACTCTCGGCAGCCAGCCACGCGCCGCGCACACCGCGAGGACGAGGACGACGACGAGGAACAACGCCGCGGTGCGGCACTGAGCCGCGGCGACCGCACCTTACGCATCGCGCACCGCGCCCGACGACAAGCAGGCCGAGTACGTCGAGCAGGCCGAGCAGGCCGAGCAGGCGGGGCGTGTCGAGATAAAGACGACACGTGATCCGTCCGTGCGGGACGCGCGGTAAAACGATCAAAATAAAAGAAGATAGCTCGGCGGGGCGCGTCGCGGAGTCGCCACCTACTAACTCCAAGGACCTCCGGTTGGCGTGAGCCGCGGGGCAGCCAATCATAATTCCAGCCGCAGACTGTTGGAAAAAGGAAGGAGGGGCAGGAGAGGGAGCTGTCATTGCGCGGAGCAGAGAAAGGGACGAGCAGCGACTCGCGGTGCGGGACCGGAGCGGAGGACCGCGAGGAAGTAGGCTAACCATCGGAGAGAGGGAGAAGGACGTGCACGCGGCGCACGCTCGAGTTGCCGATACTTTTCGAACGGCCAACAAAAAGCCGCTCCTCGAGCCGCACCGCGATCGTCGTAAACAACAGTGGCGAGAATGGTGTCCCCATTCATTTGCACCGCCTGTCGCGACACCACGGTGAATCCAAGTGCGGACAACTCCACGCTTCAAATGCGGAGGTGTGGAGCTTTCAGTCTTTGGAAGTGCAGAGTTCGGCTTGACATCTCAAGTGTGCAGTTCTTCACGTTTGCGCCACGCCGAGAGAGAGGGGCTCTGCGAGCTCCTCCACACTTGAAGTGCGGAGACTTCAAACTCTACACGTCCAAGAGTGAGCGGTTCCTCCGCATCGGCACCGGAGCGTTTCCCTGAGGCGCGAGGATCAACATGTAGTTGGGACTGATGACGGAATGTGGGAACGGAGTTAACCTTCTGATTCGGCGTTTGGGCGCTGCCCTAGAATGACCCGGTCTCGCGAGCGGCCACCAGTTTTGCTCTATCGCGGAAGGAGACAGTGTACCAGCGGGTTACATAAAGACGTCTGTTTGGATTCGGGGGGGCCATGCCATGCCATGCCGTGGCGGGCCGGGGCGACACCGTCCGTGCGTTTTGCCTGCTTTGCCGCCATACGATTAAAACGCTTAAATTGCCGCGCCGTTCTGCGGCGATGACGCGCTCGTCAAAACGAGGGGGATCGACGAGGAGCGAGGAGCGAGGAACGAGGAGGGGGCACTTCCCGCGGGGCCCGGCCCCGTCCGCGCCCGCCGCTTGCGTTGGTCCCGAACTGGTTTGGGGATTCAGTGCGACAGGACAGACGTCAGGTTGGCCCGCCGCGCCGCCGCGCCGCCGCGCACGTGATCAAGCAACATCGACCGCGTCCTGTCCCGGTCCTGTCATCCACCGCCATTTTCACCTCAAAGCCGTGCAAAGCGCCGCACAGTTGGAAAACGCCGCGGATCCCTCAGAGCGTGGGAAAACACATAAATCCGACAGCAAAAAGAAAAGGCCGCAGTGTGTGGCAGCACTCTGCATGCCGACCGGCCCGTGCCGTTGTTGTTTTTGTTCAAAACCATGACTCCTTACATTCTTCCGTTGGTTTTTTCCGGCAAATTATTTAGTGGTACGGCTCCGCGCTCCGCATGGCTGTGGCGCACCGTGGCGCTGTGACACGTGCCGTGCCATTTCGGCGTTTTTCTCAACGCTTCTTTGCCTCTTTCTCGGCCTTGGGATCCTTGATTCACACCGTCATGTGTGTTTGAAACCTGTCCTCCCCCCTCCCCCAGCCCCAACACCAGCCCGCTTGTACCGGGAACGGTCTCTGCTTGCCCGGGTATGTACATTGGTTTTGGCGGTTCTCGATGGACGCAGCCACGCGGCCACGCAGCGGTGCCAATGAGACACCACTTAGAGCGCGGGTGTCAGTGACGCGGGCGCGTGCCGCGTCGTGCCGCGTCGTGCCGACGCACCGCGCACTGCCGTGACATCCACGGCCGCCGCCCTGGTCGCGGGGATTCGCAATCGGCGCAGGCAGCAGCCGGCCTGAGGGGGGGGGGGCACTTTTTGCGTGCTTACACTACAGGGGCTATGTAGTGGCCTTTTGCCCCATTTCAGGCGGCGACCTGCCCCCCCCCCTCGCGGTTCACACGTACTCGGTGGCGGCGCGGGGAAAAGGAAGGGGGCGGCGGGCCAGGGGCCGCCAGGGGCAGAGAAAGCCCAGAGAGTCCTGCGGGCACCCGGCACGCTGGCACGCGACCGGGAAGGCTGCAGACTGATCACGAACGGTGCGTCACCGCGCTGCGTCCTGGTTCCTCGCACCCCTGCGGAACGCCCCGTGGGGCGTGCGCCGGCGTGCGCGAGACGGCCACGTCCAGCACCGGGCCGGTCTGCCTCAAGGCCGCGGCCGAGACATTGAGGGCTTCGCGGCTTCGCTGGCTCGGCGGGGCGTGGTGGGACCACCTTGGTCTTGGTGGGAGAAGTGGGGACGAGGCGGGGCGGGGGGTCCCGAAGGTTGTGTGATAACAAGCCGGCCGACTCATACACCGAGGCTGGGTGCCCTGGTGCTGGGTGGTGCTTGGCTGGGCGCAGGCTGGGCGCAGGCTGGGCGCGACAACGCACAGCTGGCCGAGCGGACCAAGGGACACCGAATGGCACTGCAGGCACTGCAGGCACTGCAACCCACGAGTGCGAGAGAGACAGCGACGAAAGCATTGTTCGGAGCCAGCCTTCTAGGGGGAGAGGGGGGGGGGGGGCAGTTTTCCCTCGGCATTCCCGTGCATCGGCTGATGACGCTGCCTCCCTCTGGTTGGTGCGCGCCATGGATCAGGCGATCGCACCACCGCCTCCTCCCCCAACACCGTGTCCGCCGTGTCGGGCGGCCGCACCCAAGGGCTCCCCCCTCCCCTCCCAGAACCACCGCGCGGCAGAGCGGCGATGCATGCAACGGCGCCGTGAGGAAGGTTAGGAAAGTGAGGCACCCTGTACACCGATAATTCGGTAAACGGTGAAAGGCGGCCTGGAGTGGCTGGAGGGATCAGCTGGACCAGCTGGACCAGCTGGACCGCCCTCGTACAGTCGCCTGGAGTCTGGAGTCATGGGCTGGGGCCTTGGCCGTGGGCTGGGGCGGGTTGGCCCCCACACCACGCCGAGGTCCGAGTCCGAGGCCCAGCCAGCCAGCCGAACGGCCGTTCCACTCCACGCCTGTGGTGCTCCGCGCCCCCGGACCATCCGGGACTTGTCCAGGACTAGTCCAGGACCGGCTCGGTCAGCCGGAGATCAATCCTATGACATCACTGAGACCGACTGTGACGCGCAAGTGGAGGCTCTAGCTCGGTCTTCCTTTCGGCCAATAAGGAAAAGACAAATGGAAAGATGGCGGAGTCACGGATGGTCCAGCCGGCCACGCTACGCCTGCTACGCCTGCTACGCCACGGCAAAACACCGACCGCGACCCGCGACACACGGCGCGCGATGACACGATACAGGCCGGCTCTGCGACACGAGTGTTTGCGGTGCGCGGAGGCCTGCCGGAGGCGAGGGGTCGGCAACTCATATATTACTTCGTACGCGGTGGCTATATTACCCGTATATTACCTGTATATTACCATATATTACTTGCATATTACCACAATTTCGCCTCTATAATACCCCTATATTACTATATATTACTTGGTATTACTTTATATTACACATATATTACCTATATTACTGGTAATATACGTATACTCCCTCGTACACGGCCAAGGGAAGTTGCCGACCCCTCGGCCGGAGGCCGCGTATCCCGGAGGGGGCCCTCGCGTTAGTTTTTGCTTCGTTTTTCGGACGCCGCTCTTTGCGTCACCGGCGGCAGACTCATTCCGTGAATCGTTTTCGCCGCTCTGCCTCTCTCGCACCAACACGGAACGCTCCACGAGTGCGACGGAGACAGAGCGACGAAAACGTCTCTAGGAATGAGTGCTGTGCTGGCGCTGCCGGACGCTGGCGCACTTGTTCTCGCCCCGCACCGCGCACCGCGCTCGAGATTCGGATCGCGGGGACAAGTTCGCCGCTTCCCT